GTAAGACTTTTTTCTCATCAATAGAATTCACTTCATGAAATTAAAATCATTTCCAAACCGATTGACTACTTGACAAGGTATTCTTGTATGTCGAAACAAAATATTTCATATAACTAAACTGAAATAGCTAAATAATCATTTATGAAAGTTTTCTCTTCGAATGCAATATTCTACTTATACGAATGTATATTCAAACAAAAACTTTATGTTTTAAACTTACGAGATGATATGGGGCACCACGTGATAAAATAATTCGATTTTCTGCTCGAGCATACTATTATAATAAATCGTTTAGAATTTTTTTAAATTTAATTCTTCTTTGTCTTTGTCACGTACCTTAATAGCATCTGTATGTGGATCATCATTACCTAATATTACTGCATCACAACCAGTAACACGTAATTCTTTTCCTAAACCATGTAACATATTATCAACAACAAATTTGATTTGATAAGGACGTTTAATTTCATTTGAAATCTTTTAAATAAGAAACAGAATAAAAAACAAAAGATTTTGATTTCTCGTTTATGTTTTTTTTTCTGATTACATACATGATTAACATCATTTGATGTTTGACATTGATTAATACTATTATTATTATTAGGTGTATCTTGAAAATTTTCATCAATTTGACGAGCTATAGTTGAATCAAGTTTTTTTGGTTTTCTACCACGAAATGATTTTAAATAATCAGTTGATTTAAGATTATTCGAAAGAAATTTATAAATTTCAACTAAACAATATGCATCAGTTGCTTAAATAAATGAAAAAAGAATATATATATATATATATATATATCTATATTTATTTATTTATTTAATCAAGAAAAATTTTACCAGCATATAACGTTTGAGCATTTCTTAATGGTCGTCGTTCCCAATTTGAACATTGTTCAGATTTATTCAATGATTTACCAAAACATAAACGAACAAATTCACTAAGACCTTTATCTTTTGATGATAAAGTATTATTTGTTGTAGCATATGGAAATATATCACGATTAGCTACAAGTAACTGAATAAGAAAAAAAGAAAATTAAATAATGCATAAAATAACTATAGAATTATTTACTTCATTTTGTACAAAAGATAAATCAAGTAAAGTTTTTCCTGAAAATAATGCTCGATTGAATATAGGATACGAAGCAATAAGCATAGCAGCATCAGTTTTAAAACCATAACCTTAATAAGAAAAGAAAAAAAAAGAATTTTTTTTCCTCTTTATTATTTGTAAAATGTGAATGTATTTTTAAATAATTACAAAGTAATGTTACATGATCATCATCAAATAATCGATTAGCTAAACGTTGTTGTATTGTTTCTGCATCACATGTATGAAAAAAATGTAGTAAATCAAGTAGAAATATTTCATTTCCTAATGCTATTTGCATCACACTAATACGTTGTTTTGATGTTGATGTATGATTAAATACTGGTTTCCATTCACCTAAAAATAAATATCTATGTAAGTTGAATGATGTTGTTTAGTATATTTATCAAAGAAATTAATAAGAAATATTTGATTTTGTTTTTTTCAAATAAAAACAAAAATATAATTATTTGTTATAAAACCTACAATCAAATCCAATAAATATTTCTTCATTATTATCTTTAAATAATCGATTAAGTAAACGTTCATAAGTTGGCATAGAATCAACAAAAATTATTTCATTATTTTCTAATGGAATTTTATAATAATCAATTGAAGACTTTTCTTTCGTGATTTGTTCATGTGGTGTCGAATTCGAAACACTATTTTGTTTGATATGAATATATTTTTGAACCTTTCAAAAACAAATAAAATAAATTAACAATTATTTCTTACATAAAAATACAAACAAACTAATTTAAACGAAATGCAATCCGAGTTACTCATAGAATATTTCAGCTTTTATTTGAAATAGTTGGTATTCGTATACATTCATGAAATATGTTTTTTGAAAGATTAACAATATTTCTGAAGATCAAGAGCACTGCACTACGAACAGTTTTTTATATGTTCTGTCAATTACAGAAATAAATAATTTGTCTCTGATTGAATTTAGTATAGCACTCAACTCGGATTAAGTTTATTGATCATATAGAATATCGATCAAAGCAGTACAGTGTGTCCGAAAAGTAATAATATCAGAGTAAGTATTTCATTTTGAAGAGCTGTTTTCGCAGTTCACTTTCGCAAACAAAAAAGTTTCTATTTTCATCAACAAATACCAATGCTAGGATCAAATTACTGAGTAATGTCAAACGGTTTTGAAATTCTTGAACATGTCAATCGTTTCCAGTAATTTAACTTAAATACCGTTATTTATTTACAAGAAAAGAAAATCTTATTTTTTACAAATGATCAATGCAACAAGTTCTATAAAATAAGATATGTCAACAAGTTTTTAGATATCTTGAGCCAATTTTTACGTAAAAACATATGAAAGGATTCTTGTAAAGTGTCAAAAAAGCTAAACAGGTTAACGGAAGAAGGTGTACAAGACTCCGACGAGATCAGTAGAAATGAATACAGATTCATCTCCACGCATTGTTCATACCAAGTTACCAGAATTTTACTGAAATGTCCTGAAAATTTCACCGTAAAACAAAATATTACTTTTGAGATATCGATTGTTGAAAACACTGAGTTTTCTTACTTTTCTTTGTGATACATCATTGTTTTTGAATAATCAATATCTCAAGAAGAACATATCTTACTTTTCGCTGAAATTTTCAGAAAATTCTAAGATTCATAAAATCTACTAATAGGTAAAATATCAGTTCGATTGACGAATCACACTTGGGAATGTTTCGTTGTAAGGGCAAACTCACATATTATTACAGAATTATTTAACAAATTAAAAAAATTTACATTATATTTCAAAAGACGAAAGTTTTTCTCTGCTAACTATAGAATAATCATTTCGAATGATCATACATACCCAAGTCGGTAAAGTATAATACGGTCGATCCAATTGAGCCACTAAAACAAAAAAGAAAACCAATTATATACAACAGAAAAAAAAAAAGAACAACAATAATTTTCTTACTCCAATATTTCATAGCTACAATATCATCTCTATCAGCTAATATTTCAATTAAATATTCTGATAAATCATTACTGCCTTGTACAATATCCTTAAATAATAAAATATCGTATATTAATCTTTATTTTTATTTATTTACTGACTCCAACTAATTCATTCCAACAATCATCACTCATTGTTTTATCATCATTCATATTATTATATTTAACATTAATTAAATAACCTAATGTTCGTTTATTTTGTAATATTGCTAAATTTGGATATTTTTCATTTTGTTCATTTCCATATAAATTCCAATAACGTACAGCTAATTTTGATAAAGTTTTTTTATTTAATGTTACATTTTTCATATTATATTCATTTGTTAAAATTTCTTGAAGTTTTTTTCCACCATTTTCATATAAATGATTTAATATATTTATTAAATATTCTTCATATTGTACATTATCATCTAAATATATATCAATAAGATGATCTTTTGAATTAAGTATTAATGGTAAAAGAATTTCATTTGGTTGAAATTCTAATTGATAATTTAATTTAACTATTATATTTAATGTACGTTTATATGTATTAGAATTTGTTGGATATATTAATAATGGTTTTAATAAATTAATTAAATAAGATTTTTTTATTTGAAATATTTCAATAAAATCTACTATACATGCAATTGGTAATGTTTCAGAAATCAAATTATTTAAAATATTTTCATCTATGATTGGTATTGATAATGATTTATTATATTGATTTTTCCATTGAATAAATGAATGAACAAAACAATTTATTAAATTTGTATTATTGTGATTAGTATTATTATTACTATTATTATTACTTGAATCAATTAATTGTAAAAGATGTTCAAGTAAATCATCATATGGTTTAGACGATTGATTGAAATAATCGAAAACTACATTAGTAGCTTCATCTTCATTATAAAGATGATATTTTTCTGATAGAGAAGTTAAAAATGAAGACATAATATTTCAATTTGTAAGATATAAATGCTTATGTACGTATGAAGATGTTGAATACGAATTGCGTAAGTTAGAGAAGTAAAAAAAATATAAATTATTTAACCATTGACTAGTATTGAGTTTTTTTAGTTCGAAAGAAAAATTTTCATTTGTAACGATGATTTAACAAATCAAACGATAGGTGTATGGAAAAAAAGATGGCACTATATATCGAATAGATATGTACCGATACGTGAATTCTACGTCGATGTTTTGGTTCATGAACCATTCACTCGCCTGATGTCGTTTGACTTCACATTATGGCTACGAGTGTATCTCAATGATATTAGAAATGCTTAAAAGAATTCGAATCTACAGCCTACTATTGAAAAGTTATCGTAGTTTTAATGAAATTTTTTCTTAGAGTAAAGGATTGTTGAAATATCAAAAATATAGAGTTTCAAGCTGAAATTAGAAAACATTTTATAGAAATGTGCTTTAGAATTTAATTATGGTTATAAATTTATTTACTCAAGGAGCAAAATGCTTCAACTCATTGAACTATGTAATATTTTACAAATGGAAGACAGGATTCTTTTTCTTACTGAGAAACGTTTAATCCAAACGATGAAAAACATATATTACAATACAAAGGAAGAAAGCATTAAACACAATTATAATTATCGGAGTGTTACATGTAGACACGATGCGTATGAATATTTTCTATTTTTATGAAATCATCGTCACTCCTTGTAAACTTATAACGACAATATTATACTGTCTTTCTTTTTTATCATTCTGAAAGTTATAATCAATGACTATTCAGTAAATAATAATAATTTGAATATAAGACAAACATTCTGAGGAAAACTTTTTTTGTTTTCGACTAGTATCATTTAAATATTTTAATGCAAGATTTATTTTATAAATAGTTAATTTAAATAAATAAAACTGTAGTAAGTCAATTCATATGAATAGGAAAAAATAAATGATTTTTCACTAAAAAAAACAATTTATTTTCATGTTAAAACTCCATAATCAACAGTGCTACCAACATCATTATTGCCCCCAGTTCGATTATCATAATTTTGACTTTGTGGTCGACGTTTCCTCCATACTTGACCAGCGTTTATTTCTGCATAGATTGTATCAACAGTTTTTGCTTTTGTTTCTGGTACGAAAAAAAATGTCAAAAGAAAAAATATTAATAAAAGTACTGTAAATAGAAGAAATGTATATTTATGCAATAAACCCTAGAAATAAAAATAAAAACATTTTTAGACACAATATATCAAATTTTTTTTTAAAATTTACCGTAAAAAGAGGTTTAAAACCAAGACCAACTATAAAATTAGCTGACCAATTAACAAGTACAGCAATACTTGAAGCTGGTACACAAAATGTTTGATTAAATAATTCTGATGTAATTAACCATGGTATTGAACCAGGTCCAACAGCAAAAAATGCAACAAATAAAATAGTCATTATAAGTGAAACTTTATTCCAAAATGCAGTTGATTGAACAACAAGTGATATAACAAGTATTAAACTTGCTACAAACATTCCACCAATACCAGTTAAATGAAGAATACGTCGACCAAGACGATCCATAAGAAAAACACTTATTATTGTAACAATTACGTTTGTTGCACCTAAACCTAAATTTGCATATTCAGCTAAATCTTTTTCATAACCAGCTGATTGAAATATAACAGTTGAATAATAAATAACTGCATTTATACCAGAGAATTGTTGAGATAATTGAAGAAATACTGTTATAAATAATGCCCAACGAACTGTTGGTGTTCGAAATAAATCAATCATTCGAGCCTAAATATTAAATTTCAAGATTTGAATCAAACGAAGAAAAACAATTATTTACAGAATGTTGTTGTTGACTTTGTTCATCTTGCATTTCAGATACTTCATAATGAACATGTGGATCTTTACGAAGCCATCGAAGTGCTAAAGAAAAATAATAGTTATTAAATAATAAAATTATTCTAAGCTGAAAAATACAGACAAACAAAATAAAAGAAACTTCTTAGCATTATAGAGAAATAACTTAGAGAGAGTCAGAAAATAACTAGGAATCTGTTCTAGAATACGGAACATTAGATATGAGTATAAATATGAATGTTTAGTAAACTCCTCTTATTGAACATAAAGTCTTCTATGAGACCAAGTATTAATTGCTTTAGAAGTTTTCTATTATCCATATATTTGTTGTTTCTTTTGCAGCTTCTGTTTACTGCAGTTTTCACTATTCAGCAAGAAATATATGAAGTAAACTTTCATTTTTTACATTCTGCTTTCATCCTTGTGTGGTGCTGTTCGGTTTAATTTTTACTCTTGTTCATTTATTCTCCTTGTCATTCTCCTCTTCTATTATTTCAATCACCGCTGTATATATATATATAAGCAAAGCAGAAGGAAAATCCCAACGAAAGGAATAATCCAAGCACAATAGTACGATAATACATATAACATAAAGAAAAGACAGAGAACAGTCAAAGTAGTGGGATAAGGAATATATCCACTACCTAATAGGTGCTGTGTCTGACTGAATCATCGATCTGGAAATTGAGACTTGTGAAAAAAAAATTATGAATCACTCTTCTATCAAACATAAACGATGCGTCAACTCGTCCCGCAGTTTAAAATTTTCTCTACAATGAGCAAAACGAAATCATCGAGATTCATACAAGAGAAGAAGATAATCAAAAAAAACGACAGTATTGGTTAGAAGTTTAAATATAAAAAAGAGTGTACTAGCTTAATAAATATTTGAACATACAAGTTAATCCTTCTCTCATGAATGTCCATGAATAAAATTGAACAATGTAATCTCAAACTATATAACTCTATGTTGGTCGCTGAGAACATTATTAACTATTAGTTGCTAAAAGTATATTGTGTTTTGTTGCCCTATATCTAAGAATACAGCTCCATAAACGTGTTATGTGGTATATATATCGACGAAGATTTTCACTGATTAATCAAATGCGTCCCACAAAGTTCTCCAATAGTTTAGCATGATAAGAGATGCTAAAGCATTGAATTGATCCTGAAGTAACACTTCAGAAGTCAAAAAAGTATCACTTTTCAAATCGTTTACTGTCTTGTTTCTTCCGAGAGTTACTAGACTGTTCAAATAATTGATTCCTTTACAAATGAAAAAGTTTGAACAAGAAAAATGTTAGTTATTGTCGAGCATCGATTGATCGGTTCATTCGATATCAGTTACTTGTGCAAATAACAAAAAAAAACACAAAATCATCTTCATTTACAACAGTTTGACAAATATTTCTTTGTATTCATTTTTGCATGAAATATTATTGAAGAAAATATTTCTATCATAGGTTAAAGTCTCAATATGTAGATGCAAAAAGTTTTCCAGTTGATCTTTTCGAATATAAGATTTCTCGAATGTTTAAGATTTCAATTCTCACTATTGTGATGTTTTTCTATGTTTCACAACTTTGATAAGGTATACATTTATTCATTTGATGTTCATCTGACTTTTGCTTTACTTAGTCCTTCATATTTCTTCAGTTTTAGAACGATTTTGAGAGCTTTGAAAATCAATAAAGTTAGTTCCTTCCATTTTACGATAAATCGTACATCAATTAGGCAAAATAATAAACTTTAACAAGATATTGGAATCGAAAATTCACACTGACCGAATTGGATCGTTGTTCATTGATTTATCTGACATATTAATATTGTATGACTGTGTCGATGCTTCATTGAACACTGATCTAGTATAGAGTCAATGTGACAGTAGATTCAATATCGGTATATCACTGTCAATATTTCAGTACTTCCATCAAAACTACGCATTTCTATTTTTACTCAAATATTACATGTTACGAGGTTATTGAAACTTCTATAATCATTTTCACCGATTAACCCAATGAAATAAACTTGCCCACATCGCATAATTCATCTGAGCTCAAAACATATTTATTTTTTTCTTAAACGCATTAATTAACCGAGGTCATCTATTTTTATTTCCGATTATTCATTTTGTTTTTTATCGAATACATGTTTTCTCTTATTACTTCTCGATTTAACTACTTAATACTAAAATCCTATGGTCAAAATATTGACATTAGCTTCTAAATCGATGTATATATACATGCATACGACAGACGATCAATTATATCAATCATTACAGCGTTTATCTAAGCAACAACTACAATCATGCATTCAACGGCAATATTTCTTTTTGCTTTTGGTCTTTTAATTACTATTACTATGGCATGGCCATGGTCAGGTAATTCTCATGGACATACAGGAGGTGAAGGATCTCATGGATCTCATGGACACAAATGGGTTAAATATCGTTCACCAAAACATATTCGTTTACCAGGTCATCTAGCTGCAAAATTAGGACATCCATGGCCAGCATTTACAGCTAAAAAAGTCTTTCATGGAAAATATATGCTCATTAGTCCAGCTCTTCTTTTCAAAATCAAACAAACTGATAATACAGGTAGTAGTACAACTAATGTTCCAGAAATTTCAACAACTCAACAACCTGAAATTGAAGAAACAACAGCAGAACCTATTGTTGAAGAATCAACAGCAGGACCTGAACCAGAAGAAACTACAGCAACATTAGAATCTTTTTTCAAACAACAATCCTATGCAATCAATAATGATGAACAATTATATTTCTTTGATGAGTAAAGAAATCATCGAAACAAAAAAATTGTATAAAAATAATCAAGCTCTCTTTTGTTTCTTTTTTTTTGATCATAAATAAAACTAACCTTTATCAGCATCAATTAAATTATTTCTTTTAATTAATAAATATTTTGGACTTTCTGGTACAAAGAAAAGTAATATTACTTGCATAATACTAAATGCAATTGGTAAACCTGATTAAAGATAAAAGAAAATTATTTTATAATAATTTTTATTTTTGGATTTCTTTACCCAATGCATAATGCCATTTATCTTCAGAGCCTAATATTGAATGTAAACTAATTGCTTGTGAAACAAAAAGTATACCAACAATTCCCAATTGAAATGAAGCACCTAGTGTGCCACGTAAATTTCTTGGTGATATTTCATTGATATAAGTTGGTGCAACCGATGAACCATAACCTTAATCATAATTATAAATTCAATAAATTATAAATAAATAAAATTATTTATACCACAAGCAAGTCCAATTAAAAATCGTCCAATAATTAATAGTTCATAGGAATAGATAGGTTTTGAAAGAAACATGCATATGCATGCAATTGAAGATATAACATTATTTAAATACATTCCACCTTTCCTATATATAATAAAATGTATTAAAGATGGTTTTTTTTTAATTTTAATTCTATACCGTCCTAATCTATTAGTAATAATACCACCGAATAGGCCACCGATCATACCTCCAAGCGCAAAGATAGATACAGCTAAAGAACTAATAAGAAAAAAAACAAACTTTATTTAACTTAAAGAAAAATAAAAGACAAATTACAAAATTAATGTTATAGTTGATTGACTCATATTTGCAGTTTTATCTCGTCTATGGTTTGTTTCATTAATAAATGCTTCTATCACCTAGAGACAGTTTCCTATTATAAATTAAAAATCAAAATAATCCTTTTCAATGAATTACTTACATCTTGTGGGGCATTTCTAACAAAAAATCAAACATTCAAAATAAAAATCATTTCAAATTCAATAAACTTACAAAACACCAGATGCATAACCAAAATGAAAAGAGGTTCCACTAATTGCTGCCAATACGGCTAATAATAATGTACCGGTTATACGCTATAAAAATAATCAAAATATATTTCATGTTTTTCTTTTTAATGTCATATAAAAGTACTGTATTATGCTTTGGTTGATTTTCTACAGGAGGATTATTATCATAAAGACTACTAGATGTAGATGTTTGAATGTTCATGTCATCGTTAGTTTTAATTGATCTATCTTGATTGCCATTATCAAGTAGATTTGTTAAAGGTGGATCATTATTCATGATACTTTATATTCTAAAAAATGATAAATTAATTTTATTTTCAAATTGTTTTTGTTTCATGCGTTTCTTATGAAATAGAACTATTAATCAATTTTATCTATTTATATAACTCTCAATTAACAGCAATTGTTTATAATTGATAAAAATGATCATTTTAATTTGAAAGAAAGCACTTAAACAAAAAGACTCGATGCAACATAAGAAGAAATTTATCGAGATAAAATATTTAAAAGAGATGTAAAATCAACAAGAAAACTGCTATATGCATGTTCTATCTAGATATGTACTTTTAAAGTGCAACAGATTGTATCAACATCACTGATAATTAGTGGAAATGGAAGCTTAAATCCATTGATATAAAATTCGAACATAAGTTTTGCATAACTAGTAAACAATTTTTTCCTTCAAAAAAACTTAAAGATAATTTTAACGTTTAGAGTCTACAGAATAGATGCACTAGAACATTCTAATAATAATAAAACAAAAGAAAAGTATATTGTTCTTGTAATCACACGTTCATAGTATATATATAGATTTTTGTCTGAAATGTTCTTTGGGAAACTTTCCTTTCTCTTCAGCAAAACTGATCGATTTTCATCGGTTTCGCTCACTAATCATCGTGATAAGAATCAAGTCCTATCTTCCTAATCTTGATGGCCTCGAGATATCCCTAGATATTGTAATCAAACAGTTAAAAAGGACTACTATCCTCCTGTGACAAAGTACAACGTTCCATGGTTAATTTTAAATTATTATTTTTTCACTCGACACACAAGGACAAACAAAAGTTTCTCTATTAAATCTCTGTTGTTGTTCTTTAACCTCACTTATTCTTATCTTTAATAAATTCAAGGTAAAGATAGACAAAAAAAAATGAAAAGAAGTAATATTATAATAATTCATAAAGCGAAGTTATATTTGCGTGGTTAATTATCTTTTAATTTCAATGCAATAAAGAACAAAAACACAGTTTATATATAACATAGTTCACTCTCGACAATTTATAATTTTCAAAAATATTCAATTGGATAAACATCGTTGAATATTTTCACCAAAAAAAAAAGGAAAAAGACATAATAACAACATAAATGCAATAAATACACAGTAAAGATTCACTGTAAAGTACAAAAAAAAAGGAAATTGACAATATAACATGCTGGAATAAAAATGTACTAAGATATACAGTATTGGACAAATATTATTAAAACAAGATATTTTCGATTTGTTGTCTCTTCTAACGACAAATATATGGCTCAAATAAAAATAGTGATTGAAAAAGCCAATGACATTTTCTTATACCAAGCTTTCCTAGACGTATCGATGAAGAGAAAGTTTCTAAAACACCCAAAAACAGATGTTTCCAGGACTCATGATAGAATACATCCATTTCAATCCATTTTTTGCTCATCGTGTATATAAAAATCTTCAAAGAGTTCGCGCCATTAGGCTTTTCTTCTCAAGTTATGGTCATTTTATTAAGATTTCATTCTATTGTTAGATATCATGAGAAAAATCACAATAGGTAGTTTCGCTCTGAAATTCTATTCAACAAAAGCTTTCACGATCTTGAGGATATCCTAAAAGTTTCAGCTTAAACAAATGTTTTCTTCCTGAGATAACACATTGACAGAAAAACGTTATTTTTACACAAGAGCTTCAAAAATAGTCCAGTTTTTTAGGTATATGGTATCTTAAGAAAGAATCATTCGTTTAAATTGAAAATTTCAGGATATCATAAAGACCAAGAGAGCTATTATTAGAAGGAATTTCAGATGAAAGCTTTTTATTGCGATTTTTCTCGTCATATCCTGCAATAAAATGAATGCTTAGTAAAATGACCATAATTCAAGAAAAAGAAGGCCTAATGATATGAGTCCTTTTCAGAATTTTTTTATCTACATTATAAACAAACAAAATATATGTTCAAAGCAAGATCATTAATCAAATGATTTTTTAGAAATTGTTTTTCTCTCAATAGTACCATCTTGAAGAATTCATATTTCTAAGTAAAATGAGCGCTCGTCACGTTTTCCTCGATCATCTCAAAAAATGGTTACACGCATTATAAAACACAAAAACGTATGACAGTTATCAAAATAAAAGCAAACACATAACCCATTTTTTTCCGTTATCATTTTGTGGTGGTTATAACTCTTTCTGAAAGAGCGTCGGAAAACAAACACCAACCACTCATCTTCTTCAGAATTTTGCGCTCTATAAAAGATAAAACTATTAAAAAATAATCTTCAAAAGTTCTCGAATATGACCGTTTTTTTCATTTTTTAATAACATTCTCTTCATAGTCCGTCTATGGAACCGTGATATAGAATGGACTATTCTATATTTAAGCTAGAACCTTAACATCATAGAAAACAAAAAAAAACGAAAGATATCTTGCTCCTTTAATTTTATCCAATATTAAGAACATATATATATATACAGAAATCTATATACAAGAAGAAAAAAACCAAATTCTCTTCTCACCAAATCTGAGATATAATATGAGGTAGTATTGAAAAAAACTGATGACTAGGTATATCAAAAAGTGAACAATACAATGTCTTTTAATCATTTTTGATGTTTTGCTTTATAAACCGTTCCTTTATCAACAAGAATTTGTACACGTTCAGGTGTTTTTCGTCGTGTTTCAGGTACGAATATAAAAACTAGTAACCAAAAGCCACAACTCATTGTACCATAAGCAAGAAATAAAAATGCACCCACAGCATGCTTTAAGATCAAAATAAATCAAAATTAGTATCTTATTTCTTGAAAGAAAAAAAAAAAGGCTTATTTTACTTACAAAAAGTGGAACAAATGTCATAATTATACAAAACATTGATAACCAATTAACTATAATAGCAACAGCTGATGCATAGGCACGTTCAGATTGAAAAAACATTTCTGTTGATAACAACCATGGTATCGAACCTAATTATCAAAAACAAAAACTTATCTAATAATAATAACAATAAAAAAAAATACATACCAGGACCCATCGCACAAAAACCGACATGTGTCATCATAGCAAATATTTCCAAAAAGATCATATGATACAAAGGAATCTATAAATAAATATATATTTTTCATAAATACAAAAAACAAAAACTCTTTTGCAATTTTATATTATTCAATTACATATTAAGGATTCATTTCATTAGTTCATAAGAGAAATATTCTTAATGATAACTAGATTAGTTAATTGTTTCAAACACAATAATAATATCTTTATTAACACGTATACTAGAAAACATGAAAAGAGAGAGTCGGAATGATGAGTACGGATCTTTGAGCTGAGACACAATAAACAGAAGGAAACATCAATACGGGAACGTATAGCACGCAAATAAAATGAAATTTTCTACTCGACAGTAACAGCTATCAAGAATCTGAAAAAAACCTTCATGTCCCTGAAAAGATTTTATCTTAGGATTGGTAAGTCCGACGACTTCTAAAATCAATTTTCTGACTAACATCAGAAGCTGATGGGAAAATGTGTTCTATTTGATAGAGCAAAATGATACATCTGCAATCTCTTTATGACTGTTTTTCATCGAACTGCATTCAGTTCACAAAAATCGCCCAAGCGTCAAACATAGTAAGAAAAATTGAAATTTTCAATAAAAAGAAGCAAAAAAACTGCTTCTTGGGCCCTTTCTAAATTGTTCGCATATCTGTGTACATTCTTTACGTGCTTATCTTTCTTCGATTTACGACAAGTATGACCTTTAATTTCTCAATAATCCACTGATTAATTCTCAAATTTTGTTTTTTGTCTCAATGTTAAATAATTAGTTCAAATCGAGATATTTATTTTAATAGGCAATAGAATTTTCTATCTGATGTATTCTATACTAGGATTTCTAAAAAGAAAACGAAGATCATAGTTTTCAGCTTCTTAAAGACTTTATCAAAACTTTTTCAACAATGCCATTTCAAAGAGAACAACATGAGTGTTCACTGCATTTTCTATAATCTTTCTTTAAAAAGTTAAAGAAATCACGAAAACCGTAAAACAATATCTTTTTTCCATTTTTATGACACTTTTAACTTTTTTAGAGAAGGTTGTTAAAATTGCAATGATTCCTCATTTTATTTTCTTGAACATGGCATTGTTAAAAATAGTTCTGACAAAGTGTACTGGAATCTGAAAACTACCATGTTCGATTTCGAAACCTTGCTATGGAATGCATGAGATAGACAACTTAATTGATTATTAAAATCACACTTTAGATTTGAGCTAGATATTTAACATTGTAGAAGAAAAACGTTATTATTCAACTTTTTTCAATTAATTTACATTCGAATTTTATCATAATTTTAATTGATATTTTAAACTTACATTTCTCGATTTCAGAATTGTAATACCAATAACACAGGTTGCTGCTGCCATACCAACTAAACCATCTATAATTAAATAAAAATCGAATAGACGTTTTTTTTTTTTCTATTTAAAAAATTTGTTTTTTCTAATCACTTACAAAGATAAAGTGATCGACGTCCAACTTTATCAAGAATAAAAACTAATGAAATAGCTACAGCTAAATATGTTATACCACATGAAAGCATTGCATATGATGCATATTCCATTTTTAAATTTGCACGAGTAAGAATAATATCTCCGAAGAAAAAGATCTATTTAAAACAAAAAAAAAACCAATTCTATTGTCGAAATCTATTCTATGAATAAAAAAAATAATAATAACATACAACAAAACTTCCAGTAAAATGTTGAGCAACATGTGTCATGGCTAATATAAGAAAACATTTGCGAAGAAGAGGTTTTAACCATAAATCACGAATTGAAATCTAATTTACAAAAAAAAAAAAATCATTTAAGAATTCTATTTTTGTTTTTGATTACTTTTATTTTATTTGTTTGAATATTATGAAAATCAGCTTCCATTTCATGAATTTCAGCTTCAACATCATCAAGATTATTTTCTCGACGAAACCATCTTAAAGCTAAATAAGAAATTTCTTTTTATTTCCTATACAAA